TTTTTCGTATTATATGTACAAAACGAAATATCACGCGACCGCCGCAATTTTTCGGAGGCATGTAGAAAGAAGCGCGACGAGCGCGTCCGACGAGCGGTGTCTCTCGCGACTCGCCTGTGTATACATTATATATAATATATATAAAAGAAAAAGCGCACGACTTCCTTCCTTTCCCCTCGCAGTAACTATCGTTATAACGCAACTCGCATATTTATATATTTATATATATATATATATATTAATTTATATATATATATCTCTCTTTCTCTCACACGCGCGCACGCTCTCTCTTTTAGCTTCTCATGCATCCTTCCTCACACTCTCTTCACTTTTGACATATTATCGTCCCTCGATTCTACCGCCGGACTTTCAACGGCATTCCAAAGACATACACGATAGTTACGAAGTATTGCTTTTTTTCCTTAGTCGCGTGTCGACCGCCGATCGCGATCCGGCGTAACAATAATAAATTTTGCACCCTCCAGCGACGAGCCGCATCGGGAATCTCGCGCTCTCCATTTTTCCTCCACTTTTTCTCCCCAGATCCTTCGATTCCGCAATGTCGTTCAAGAGGTATTTGAGATTCGCATTCGGGTATAAACATGTATTATCACGGGTTTCTCTCGAGAATCTCCTGACGTAAATTCGGAGATTTTCTTGGAGCCGTTTGGAAACATTGGGAATCGAAGAAGCAAAATAGCGCTTTTAGCGGACGCCACGTGTGGTTTTATTTGTAAAATTATATCATATTTTACGTCAGAATTCTTAAACACGAAGCTGATGCTTCAATATTCTTTAGAATTGCCCGTTGTTCTTATAATATAACGATAGTGTCGATTACTTTACATGAATTCGGCGGGAATGAATTGTTGCTAGGATACGTCCGCTTTATGAGGTGCGTGAATAAAAGCGCCGAGGAAAAAACCAAAGGGGGCGAAACTCACCCGCGGCTCTTGCGCTCGAAGGAAACATGCGCTAAGCGTAAAGTTAATTCGAGTACAGGACTTCTTCTTTTTCTAAACATATCGTATCATTTTCGGTTTCTTTTTCTCTCTCCCGTTATTACGTATCGTTTTTTTTGCAAGTAGACGCGAGCACACATAGAAAAATCGCCTGCAGCGTCCACCCGGCCGCCACGCCGGGAAGCCGCTGCCGCATGCTGAGCATTTCTACGAAACTACAATGCGCGCGTGTCGGATAACGGCGTGTCAATGGATAACTCAGTAACAAGCGCTACGGGATTGTGTCCCCTTGTGCTTAGAGCCGAGGAGGTCGTCAAGAACGCAATATCGAAGGAACACGCGTCACCCAAGGAAAGCAACATTCGAGAACATCGTCGGAGAAGCAGTCTTATTCTGTTACTTTAAGGATGTATGTGTTACATCTCAAGTACTGTTAGATCGTAAAGAAGCAACCCAATCTCTTGAATTAAACAAGATTTTGTTATTTTTAATTTTCATGTTTGTCGAAATGTAAATCAATTCACATTTCTGTAGTTAGTTTCAAAGTAAACAGCGTTTATATTAATGTGTATTTGCATTTAGTAAATAATCAATTAAATTTGATATAAATTTAATACATTTTCTTAAGTTAGATTAATTGTTTTAGTTAAATTAATGATATATTAAATAAGAGTAGTGACGATCTATAGAAATGATTAAAAATAACTCAAATTAGATACAATTTGACATTATAATTTACAAATTTGATGGAAACATTACAAAATCAAATTATTATATATATTAATAAAATTATAATAAATATATTCGTGCAAAAATTTATTTGAATTCATTTATTTGTTTCAAAACTAAAATGGTAGCATGACCATTACACTGCAAAAGCCATTATAAGCTTATATAAATTATTTGTTTTATTTTTTTCTACTTGGTTTCAGTCTGTATTTACGATAAAAATTTGTTGACTGATATTGACTTTTTTGACTGATATTGTACGGTCAAAACATTTTTAAAGATATATCTGCTTTAAATTGTGACGTTCAATAATGACGTTCAAGAAATTTTGAAACTCTTCAGCTTTCCAGAGTAAAAAATAGACCTTTTTTTCCTCAAGTTAACATATGAAATTCTGGAAGTGATATTAACAAGTCAAAACGCACTCTCGAAAAATGTTCTCGGTCGTAGCTTCGGTCAGGTCAAGCGTTTGTGCTGAAGCTGAATCCCTTTAGTTACCGAAAGGATCGAAAGATTATGATTTCTACTGCTGTATTTTTATAATCTTGAGCAAATGATTTTCATCTCTCAAATGTTGGTTCTACGTATGTTGGTTTACGTCTCGGTACGTGAAGTGGTAAAGAAGATCACTTGCTCGAGATTACAGTGATGTAAGGAGAATCGCTCCGAAGCAATTTAACTACGATTTCAAGAAGCTGATGTAGACGAGAATGTGTATTTGAAGCTGGATCCCGAGGCTTTGATGGCTGAGCAATTTTCCGCGTCAAAGCTACTGAATTCTCTTTACTATTTATACGGAGGAAAATAAAATTTTGCCTTTGCGCCGACGGTTTGACATATGGAATGAATCACAGATCGATATGCCTCATCCAGCTTCGGGCTCCCTTCTGAAGACGAAAAGAATGTGTCAAATTTAAGATGTTTAAGATGTTTAGACAGAATGTGTCACGAAATAACAAGAATCCTAGTGGCACGTTTGTTAGTCATTTTTACGATATAAAACATACACGATTTCTAACAATTTATCTACTTCTTTGTAAAAGTGATGCGAGAGAGATATGGTTGACACAACTCAAAATTTTCATAACTCTGATCTAGAAAAATGTGATGTGGGATTAAAAATGTGATGGTGGTATATGAAAACCAAGTGTCGTAAATCAATGAGGCCCCGTCGCTAAAATCTCTTGCATTTTACGGTAGAAAATCTTTCGTGATACGAGGACGTGAAGACTACTTTCGCGGGATAGTGGCATGTTGTCGGCTATACACAACAGATATGTACAGCGATGTTACTTGTAAAGGTTCACTAGCACACTCCCTTAACCTTTCGCTAAATCCCACGTTAACTCGTCAACTAATACGTACGTTTGTGATTATGTATTTTTATTTTTTTTCCTTTTAATTATATATATCGTCTACGCGGAACACAACGTGGTGGAGCTGCGTGGGCTCGCACGTTGGCTCACCACTGTGTACCTCTATATATATATATATTTATATATATTATGCGTTATATTTGTTTTTTGCATTCTTTACTTTCTATTAGTCGGTTACTTCATTCGACCCGAACCACAGACTTCTACACTTTTTACTTTTTTTCCTTATTTACCCAATATTGATAAACACCGACAAATTCAGCTATATCAGTTACAGAGAGGAGGGGCTAAGGTTGTGCCCTGTAAAAGATAGGTGAATTAACATGAATCGAAAGAAATTTATTCCGATGCCTGATCTTTGAAGTCAGGGAGATTGGTTTTAAAATTGCGTTATAAAAAATCGGATATATACTCATCAGTATTATAACTTTACAAAAGAAGGAAAATACTCTGATATGGAATTTAATTCTGTATAAGAGAAAATTTCATGTTTCAATGTTTCGTGAAAATTTCTAATTTTTTTTTCTTCTCAATGAGAATTGAATAGATACGTATTAAAGGATCTAGAAAAAAGTTCCATCATCGCGAAACCAATCCCCTATATTTTGAGGATTAGGAATTTATAACTTTGACGAAACGAATTTCTCCGCATACATCGATTCTTGTTAATCCAACTATTTTTTGCCGGGATGCTCTCTTCGGCGGAGCGCGGGGGTGAGGTTCTTTTTCACAGGGCGATCCCACATACACACGGTTACATAGGGCTTCTTCGACGACACAATTCAAAAAATAATTTTTCATTTTTAGTAGAAAGATAGGCGGGGCATTTTCCGTATAATGGTAATATTATCGTTTTTCCCATTATTATTTATTACTCTATTTATTATTTTTATTACTTATCGTTTTACTATTATTATTATTTTTATTATATTATTATTTCTTCTGGACATTATTACTTCGACGCATCCCGTTACGACTTTTGCTCGTCTCGTCACGTCGTGTCACGTCGCTTTTTATTACGCGACGATATCACGCTGCAATAGTTCTTACACGTTTATGATACCGATACCTATTTACACGTGTCTACGTTGTCTACGACAAATCGGATAGATTCGCTCATACCTCAGGCAACCACGATCCAAAATTCATCAAGTATGAAATTTATTTATAAAGCTCGAGTGAGGAAAATTGGTTTGATAAATTGGACAATGCAACAATTCTGAAACGATAAAATTGTCTGCCTTTTTTATCATTTTCTGATGTCAATTTCCTTTAACATTTAGTACTTTTTACGAACTTTCACATGACTACTAATTTTATTATTAGAAAATCAATGTGTGATTCCATTTGCTTTGACATCTTGTGAAAAAGTCCACGAATTTGCTTTATAAGTATAAAATAAATTATATTTTTTAAATAAATTAAATTTTTATAGATCTTAAGGACTTGATAGATTTCGATTTCAGATGTCACATTTATACTTGATTCATTCAATTACGCGTTTGCACGTGCAGCAAAATCAATGAGATAACGTTGCCGATCATGCTATGCATCCGGCCGATTTGAAGCGATAGTGTGTTTATGTGTTTGTGTGTCAATCGTGCATAGGCCTGAGTCAAGATTTAACGTAAACCGTTCATTTCGTGCGAACGTTACGCTTTCTCTCGACAAAATCTCTTTCTTCCTCTTTCTCTCACGTTATTTATTTATTTATTTATTTATTTTTTTACCGCGACGCGTCCGATATAACTTCGCGATTTACCCCATTTCTTGCATTCGAGTATATCACGGGGGCACAAGTAAGTTTCTATACCTTCACGCGTATGTATGTTGTGTATGTATGTGTGTTATTTTTTCTTTGTATACATATAAAAAAGCTGTATCGACAGTTCCACTTGAGTTTACGATCGTTCTCGCGCGTTACGTTACGATATTTTATCTACATTTACCATTAAGAGTTCGAGTAGCTATATTTACAATTGCTTGTTTCGCATCTAGTACACCAAATTTGCGCCTTGTTAAAAATATCTGCTGTATATCTGCTCTCCTTTGTCTCTTTCTCTCTCTCTCAATCTCTCTCTCTCGTTCTCTCTTAATCTCTCTCTCGCTTTTCCTACGACGTCTCGCGACACGATCTACGGCGACGTCCACGGATAGTTTGTTCAGACATATCCACCCTCGGGAGGATATCCCCCGATCAGAGATGCGAGGTGAGAGCATCCCGAACAGACTGTCAAATAACTAGACGTTCGGAGAACGTCAGCGTATTTTTTGTATTGAAAAATTATCCTCTCGCCCCGCATCTTCCGATTTCGACGCGGCAACCTCGAGATATCTCGCTCCCGCGTGCGTGCTTACGCGTGTCTTGTAGACCCTGTTGAATGACATCAGCTCGAATAATCGACCGACGATCCGAAAAAGTCCAAGACACTCCATACTCCCTCCTTTTCACGAAAACACTACCGGATTTCGTCGCGGACGGCACTTTGAAAGTTCACGCACGTAATTTCGTCTCTATTCTCCACGCGTCGATTTTCATCACCTCTCTCTTCTCTTTCTCCTTCCCTCTCGTGTCTCTTCGTCTTCTCTATAAACTAATCACCATGTGTAACAAGCTTTATATTCTTCATTTCGTTAATAATGCGACTAGCTTAATTTTGACACTTCGCGATCCGTTCCCATACCCGCCGTTTTCGCACGTACGATTACTCGATCTAGGAATCTATGACAGATCGCGATCGCGTGGACGCGCTTATGGCACATCGACGGGGTAGGTTGCTCCGGACACGGGACGCATCCGTGGTCGCTCGTGGTAGATCATTGCGTTTCGACGACGAGCGTAGGGAGAGAAGAGGTCGAGAAGAGAATCGAGGAGAGAAAGGGAGCGACGTCATATTTTAACGCAAGTACGCGGTGGTAGGATTTTCTATCAACGCGTTGCTCCGTTTCTCTCCCATTCCATCGTACTCGCTTCTCATATTCACGCGCGAATCAAGTCCCAAGCGATACTTTGAACTCGCGTCGTGGTGTCCTCGAATCACGAATCGTGTCTGTGAGTCCTGTTGCGCCTGTTGCCGCTCTTCCGCCTCTTCCTCTTGGTGTCGCGGGTGAACGCGACGTTACCAGGATCGTCGGCGAGCTGGGGATACCTGTGCACGCTGTGGATGTCGACGCCTTCATAACCGTCGACCGTGCCGCGGCTCATGAGCTCGTCCTTCTCCTCCTTCGACCAGTCGCCTCTACCCTGGAAACCGGCCATCACCAATTGTTTTTCAATTTCCCAAGCTCTCTCGACAGCTCGCTTGTGCGCGTGCTTCAGAATACGGTGCCGCTCCTGCTCGGGATCGGCTCCGTATTTAATCACCACAGCCGCGTCTGGATTGTGAAGCCTCAATTCCTTCCACGTGCCCGCGCCGTGCTCGGTCGTTTCGTGCGTGGACACATTGAACATACTACCGAGCCGATGGAGTTCTTCCATATCATCACGGATCTTCAACGCATTGTCCTTGACGAAGTAGAAAACATCCTGATCGTGCACGCTGAAGTGCAATGGCAGGAAGTACGAATTGTTGAATACGGATGTCACCACGTCCTGCACTACACTGTTCACACCGTCCACCACGCTCACCAGAGCCCTACCGCCGACACGCGATACCAGGATACCCTCGCCGAAGACCGCTCGACGATGTGCCACTCGCGGCAACAGGTTCCGTGTCTTTGGTTCCAATTTCAACAATGGCTTAGGAACGAAACCCAGATCGGAAAACTTTTCCTGTACACGATTTACGATGCACTGCAGACCGGACATCACACCAAAGTCCGGAGTCAATTGCGGGGATGTGACAGTCGCGCTCGGTTGATACACCATGTGCTTCGTATATTCAGAACCGAGCATCATCGAGATATCGTAGCCGTACAGTTTTAGCCAACTTCCCAAATCCGTCATGTATTCAACATTCTGTTTAAAGTTAATCGGATCGTTATTGCGGAAGCGATAGATGAAAATGTCGGTTGGTGTAGTGAGTTCGTTGGCCATCTGCTCCCAAGCTGGTGTCATCCATTGACCGACAGTAGGATCGTAGAGTCTCTTGTTCAGATAGATTAACTTGGTGTTTGGATCGAAGAGACCTCCGTGGAAATCGATGGGCAGATAGAAGTCCGGATTGGTATCCTTAATGATCTTGCCGAACGGAGTGCGCCGCATCTCCTTGATGAGATTGCCATTGGTGTCGAAGAGAGCGAGAGGCGAGCCATTTTGGTCTGTCGCGACATAGAAACGCTGCTCGGACGTTTCTACGGTCATCAGGAAATCGCGGGAGTCATAGAGGAACCGGAAAGTCTTAGATGATTTCGGGAAGTGCACGTGCGTTATAAGATCCGGAGTCTTTGGATTCGCGTAGAAGAACTGAGTGATGTTCTCTCGGTCATCATTCATGGACACCAGTCGACCACGGTCGTCGTAGAAGTACCAGATTTGGAATTTCTTGTGCTCCGACGCGTGAATCAGCTGGCCGCGCGAGTTGTATCTAAACAAGAGAAAAAATATCGCATGTCATATATATCAGAATATTTTTCAATATTCTTCAGTTATTCGATATTCAGCAAAATAGCTTTTACCAAAATTTTCCTTCAAAAAGAATATTTTTGCAGTTTTACACAATTTTAGTTATTTTAATAAAAAAATATAAATATATTTTGTTTTATAAGTATATCTTAGGAAAGAAAAAAAATAAATCTTAATTTTATATCTTAAATTAATTAAGTAAAATTAGAAAACACATACCTGTACTTGTGCTCTCCGCGAATCACGACGAAGCCGCGTCCATCATACGAATTGAATTCGACGTCACCATACTGGACAACTCGATCGCCACTGTCGTAGCCCAAGACAATTTTCTCATTATGTTCGGTCACGCCGATCACATTACCGTTCTCATCGTATGCGTACTGCCAATTATTTTCCGTGTCTGCTACCTCCAATACGTGACCATCTGCGTTATATGTGATTTTCTCCATTCTGGACCACTCTTTCTTCTCCATCGACTCTTTTCCAATAGTGAGCTTCCTCATCTTGATGCGATTGCGATTATCATATTCGAGCTCCATACGGAACACATCGAACGACCGGATGTTCATCAACACGGTTTTAACGCGTCCGTGTTCGTCGTAATCCGTGACTGTGAAGAACTGTTTGCTACTATCTTGCATTACCGATCTATTGAAGAGATTTCTGTATATTCTGAGATCACCGACGCCTTCTAGTACTCCGAGATTTTGGTTGTACTTGAGACGAAGCTGAGGTAGCTGTTTACCATTGATATCGACCTCGATGCCGGATATGCGCGCGTTACCGTCATACTGATAACGATAATGAGCATTATCCATGCCGCTCTTGCTGCCAAACTTGATCTTTTCATCCTTCACGATACCAGCGTGATATTTATATTCGATGCGCATCTCGAAGTTTGGCTCGTTAATGTCAATGCTACGCACCAAACTAGTCGTTTCTTGATAGGTGTAATGTATTGAGGAGAGTCCTAAGGATAGAAGTTTATGATTAACAGATTGTGCCTCTAAAATTTGTAAAACATCTTTATGATGTTTGCAAATTGTTGAAATTAAGCATAAATGCGAATGAATATTTTTTTAAATTACACTTAGTAAAATGTAATTAAAAAATAAAGATAAAATAGATATTATTTTAGCAGATATCAGAAAGAGTTACTTACCAGCGAGTGTAGTTTCGAGTTTTCCAGCGTGATCATAGACGTAAGCAACCTTTCCGCTTTGATGAGGATATACCTTGGCAAGAATCTGACCGTCATCGTTGTAAAGGATCTCGTAAGGATGTCTATTCATCGGCGAATAGTATTGATATTTATAAAATCCAAGAGAAGTTTGAAGAGAGAACGTATGAATGTGTCCTCTTGGTGTAGTCAACGACTGTAACGCTCCCGCTTCGTCATATTGAAGAAGATAATCGCTTCCACGCGGCGTAGTGACTTTCAGAGGTAGGATGCTGAACATATCCTTAAAAGCGTATACCATTGACGTGCCATCGCTGTATTTGATTTCATATAGCCGACCTGATCTATCGAAGCCATAGGTTTCGCTAATGTCACCCCACGTCCAGCTTGTCAGTCTGCTGAATCGATCATATTCCAACTCGACGCCAGCAAAGATACCATTCCTTGGTCCCCATTTGACCGGCCTAGCCGTTCTGTCGTACGTGACATTTAGCAATTCTACCCGATCGTCCATGAATACGGCCACAGTATTCGTCTCTCTATCATACTCGAGAGACAGCAGGATTTCACCGTTGACACGAAGCTTCCTACCGACCTGAGCGATTGCTTTCGAGTTGCCGCGATTCTTATTTCCTTGAACCTTCCGGAGGAAGTATCGCCATTCGAAGCGATTAGCCAAATCCCCGGCGATCTCCGTTCTCTGTTTAGCTGGTACAGGATAACTTTCGCCCAGTAGAGGTTCGAGCTCTGCCAGGATCGAGTATGGCATTGAGTCAGTACTAACAGTATGAGCCCATGGTGTTACTCTTCCAACTGAACCATCGGCGAGAACTGTCGTCCTCTGTTCGGCTTCTCCGATCTTCGTGACGACGGACGATCCTTTAATCAACATTGAGATAGGCTTCCTGTTGTTCTGTCCGACTTTTACCACAGCACCTTTCAGACTGAGATCAAACGTTAAGCTGATTACCTTGCCTGTGGGAGTCACCGCACTTGTCAATCTACCGAACTCATCGTAATTGTAAACATAGCTACGTCCAGTACTGTCAAGCTTTGTCTTCAGTAAGCCCGTTGGTCCGTGATAATCAAAAGTAACATTGTAATCGTCGGGCGTGCTCAATTCGTGCAGCATCTTCATCCTGGACATTCTCAATCTGCATTTTTGTCCCTTTGTGTTCTCAATTGAATTGACTTGACTGCTATAATCTCTGAGCAAGAAAACCTTGTTACCAGCTGCGTCCGTCACTGTGCTGAGCTTACCATTGCTGGTGTTGACATTGTAGGTAAACTGATACACGATCTCACCAGTGAGAATGTTCCTCGTGGAAATGTGTTGGCCGAATCGGTTGAACACGTAGATCTCTTGTGTATCGGGTGCATAAATTTCGTATTCTCGCGCACCGCTTGCGTCAGGAATACTTGCTGTTACCGAGCGAATACGGTAATTGGCTTGGTCGCCGATGTGTACCACTCCATCGGGAGAAACCGCCACAGCCGATATGGTGTTAAATTTAGAAGTGGATGCCAGATAATGATCGGCCTCGAAGCAGTCACAGCCACGCTCCAGGCAGTTGCACTTGGATTCGGCGCCGGCGTATGGCGATATTTTGCCGTCGGTGCCGATCACGCGAACACGGTTGATCCTCTGTGAGTCGCTTTCGGCGATGTAGAGATCACCCGAGGGACCGAACGCGACACTCTGCGGCATCACGAGGGTGGCGTGAGTCGCGAGTTCCGTGTCAAACGAGGCTGAAGGCGAGGCGCAGTGAAGTGGACGGCCAGCGACGACTTTGACACGACCGTCTGGCGCCAGTTGGAGGACCATGTGATCGTCAATCATATGCAGCGAGTTGTCCAGAGGATTGATTGCCAATTCGGTTGGCCAACGAAGATGAACTTCCTCGACATTCAATGTGCCTTCGCAGGGTATAGGCTTCCAATGCGATTTATGCATGTGATTGCCGATCACGGTGGTGATGATACCGTCTCTGTCAACCATTCGGATGTTCGTGCCATCAGCGAAGTACAGAACGTTGTCTGCAGAAACAGCGACGCCTTTGGGATAAGCGAGTTTGGCATCTCGTGCGAGAGCACCATCGCCACAATGAGCTTCGTCACCAGGAAGACAACGTTCGCCGGAACCAACTACTGTCTCCCAATTACGATCAGGATCTGTATAGTCATTGGTGTCGCGAACGCGGATGATCTGATGAGATTCTGGATCCGATATGTAGAGAACGCCGTCCAGGGGACTCAGAGCGATGTGATAACGATATGATACTCTAGTTGCGCTAAAGAAAAAATTAAAATAAAATGTTAAAGAATGACAGAAAGAGTCAAAAGAGTTATAAAGAATTATCACTTAAGTAGAATACGTACTTTAGTCTGACCACAGTTCTAACTGTTCCATCGACGAGAATCTTCCTGACTAGATTGAAATCACCAACAAAGATGGCGCCGTCCGCAGCGGTGGCAAGAGCAACAGGCGCTAAGAGACGCTGTTTAGAAGCTTGCCCGTCGCAGTCATAGCATTCCAACGGTCTTTGATGACCGTCTCCCATCGTGGTGAGAATGACTCTCGGCTTGTGCTTCAGATAAATATTCGAGCCATCTCCTTTTTGTAAGATACCCTCATGGAAGTTATACCTGTGATGAATATCTAGATTCCAACCACCAACTTCCGAAATAGACATATCGTGACCGCTCAATTTCGTCGTCTGCACGTCCCAGATGATGTCCTTGCAGTCGCTATATTCATAGCCAACTTTGACCATGGCAGTTGTCACTCCGTAGACGCGTTGCCGATAAACGTTCAAGCGGTTCCAAGCGTAAGTGAATTTGATCACGGGATCAGCCTCAAAAATCTTCTCAAAGAGTATACCCTCGATTGTGATCCTCAAGTGTATCAGATTCAACGTTGGCGGAATGACTTCCGGAGTCAGCTGTAGTTGTATGGTGGAGAGGTAACCGGCCGCTCGAGAACTATGATATACTAAATTCAGGCCTGTCCCGGGTATTTGTAAGCTTTCTTGTATGACTTGCGACTCCGCCAATATAGCACTTTTGTCCGGACAGGCACCTTGGAATCCGTGTTTCCAGGTCGCCAGGACGACTGGCTTCATGAGATCATAATCGTGAGCCGCGCACGCATGCGGAACATGTATAGGTGGCTTTTCCTCGGCAGTGCTCATAATGATTTTGTCGATAATAACGACCTAAAGTGAAACAAATGATACCTTCATTATCTTGTCTTTAATCGTAAAATGGATGTTAAGAGTTCTTGGGACACGCGCTAAATTATGTTATGAGAAAATCAGGCTCACCTCGTTCCAAGGCACGAAGACAATATGGCTTTGTGGTTTGAATGGCGATCTGCCGAATTGTAAAGTTACGGCACCACCACCGTTTACCAATAGATCAAACCAACCGTCATCTCTTGTGAGGGTGAAGCCTTCTAGCGTTGTGCTGGTGCTGACCCGCACTCCCATCAATCCCATGCCAAGGTGTGTGACAACGCGACCACGTATGACGGCCGATCGGCTGTTAGACAACGACCGTGTTAATCGCAGAAAGCTCGCGAGCGAGTAAATAGTTCAAAATCATTTCTTTATATGCTTCGTCGTACACTACCAACAAAGCAATCGCTATTCTCTAAGCTAATCTCAATCTACTACGTTATACTCTGTTCATACTTTTCAGATAATCTCCTCTTTGGAGTAAACACCGACGAGAAGACACTGTCACTTGATAACGCCTAATGAGGGGTCTGACTTCAACTTTTCGTTAAGAAAAGATAAGACTTGTCTGATAGATGAATTAAACGTGTCTTTTGTTTTGTGGATTTGTAAATAATAACAGTGATGAGCAGAATTTATACTATTAATAGAAAACTGGGAATATCTTTTTTTTTACTGTTAGTAAAAAATTAGGAATGTATATATATATATTTTTTTTTCTTTTCAATTATACGTTATAAATTGTAAATCTGTTAAAATAAAGTAACGTGATAAAGTATAGGTGCAGAAGATCCTTGGTTGTTCTTGCTTCAGACGCAAATGTTTTTAAGAATAGATCCTTAAGATTGATCCATAAGTTCGATATTTGTGATGGGGAGAATTGCTATAATTAAACGCAAAGTGCGCTCTTCACGGACGTTTAAAAAGACAGGGGCAATCAAGGGTAAATTAGCACTAAAGGATTTGCGTCCATTTATACAGGTGACAGAATCCTTTCGCCAGCTAATAAATATCTCAATATCGGCGTTAATCGCCAGTCACGTATATTAAATATTCAACGCAATGTATTTTCGTCAATTCTGCTTCTCAGTGCTAAAGAGGAACTATTCGAGTCTTTGATTATCTGCTGCTCGAATATCGGCGAACTAACTGATCGGTGCATTTCTCTCTCTTTTTTTTTTCATTTTAACGTTTCGGATAATTTTCTCGGATCTCTCTGTTAGACTGTAGTTGCCTGTAGTTTATTAAATAAGCAATGGGGAATACAGTCAGAACTTTTAACAGTCGTGCCTCTTTGGCACTGGAGCATAATGGTCGAGGATAAGTCACTACTTATATAAGTACAGTCAATATATACATATATAAATATACACATATATGTATATATATTTATATTTATATACACAAATAACACAAAGTTGGAAGCTCAACGTAAAAGGCACGAAACACAACGTAGGAATCAAAAGGTAACTGAACCATGCAACACGAGAATGTGTTCAACAATAATGGAGGACGAAGTGCGAGCTCGAACGATCGTGGAATGTGTTCCAACTGTCAAGATGGAAATTCTTAGATCGTATACTACGTGAACCGCGCATTTCGTTGATTTTCTGTAGTATCCTGTTGTCTCCAAGTCAATGAAAGAACATAGATATTATCAGTATAAGCGAGAATAATAGTCTTTCCTAATACTTATAATTCCTGATATCCAAATTCTTTTATCATCCTGGAAACAATTGATATTCTAAATGCGAGGTGCAGATGTACATGATCCAAGGAGACCTGATGAGATTCAGCAATCTCAAATCAAATCGAAAGAGATCAGGCTTCTCAAGCGCAGTCGAACGCACACACGCACGGCTCGTCGCGATCAAGATGCAGGATGTATTTATGTACAGATACGTGAGAGATACCAAATGCACGAATATTATCAAACAGCAGCAGGTTCTTTTATAACCGCTACGATGGATCTTATTACGGATCCTCGTTCATTTAAGTCGAGCTTTATCGACGTCTGGTTTTCTTACCTTGTGTTGAAGTGATTCCAGAACATACTGACCGGGCAGCACGGATAAAACAGAGCCGAGTTAAAATGATGCGATTAAAGGCGAAAATAGGAAGAGGAGAGTGCAGGATCGAGGACATAGCTCGGGAGAGAAAAAGAGAGAAAAAAATATCAAAGGATTTCAAGAGGCGAGGGATAAAAATATAGAAGAGTCTGAGGAAAACTTTCCGCTTTTACGAAGAATTTCGATACGTCGCGTCTCCGGATTACTAGAATTTGCTGGTCCCTTCCAATAGACCCGACGCGTCGGGGAGAAAAAACTGTCCGGTTATTGTATCCCCTTCCCACCCCCTTAGCCGGCATGATGAGCGAAAAGCTCGAGGCTTAAACATGGACTCACACATTCACGCAAGCTCCACTCGGACGGACATGAGAAAGAGAGAAAGAGAAAGTATCGAAAGAACAGGGGTTGGATTGATATACCGATAGATAGATCGTAAGGGACTGCGATAAAGATCGGGGTAGACAGAAAAAGAGAAAGAAAGAGAGAAAGAGAAATATAGATGGAGACGAGAGAGGGCCAAGGGAAGAAGGGGGGATTTTAGTGCAGGGCACACGCTCGCGCACACGTACGTACAAAACATATGTAGAAAACTGTTGGGATGTGATTTCACACGGGTCACAACAACGCAGATATAATATATTGAAATCTATGTATATGCATCCTCGTGTCTGTTACCGTCGGTAATACATGTGTAGAGAGATGTACAAGGGTATGCGTGTATCTTGTAATATGCGCGTAGAGGCAGCTAAAGATTACCGGGTCCCTGCGAGAGAGAGCTGGGACCCTATTCTCTGTGTGCGCGCTTCTTCCCGTTTAGTTAAAAATAGAGATCGATCAGCTTTGTCCGACTAATCTTTCAACCGATTCGGCTCGAGTCAAAGGGACCGTATATTCGTATTATTAATAACCGTTAGGCGTCCCGTCGAGCATGCAACTTTCTCGACCTTCGCGATTCACGCTTTACACAGGCTTTCTCTCATGCACTTCCTTTGCCATACGGATCCTTTGCCTAATTTAAAATACATGTAATCTTAAATAATAATAATGCCGAGGCACTAATAGTTTCCGAACAGCAAGTTATTGAAAATCCGGGAAATTAGAAGCTTTAAGAAATTCAAATTAAATAATAAAATATTATTTCTTCGCGCGCGGGAATGCTTTTAGTGGACTTTATGTCCATCGAAATTTTATTTGAGACTTAATTTTAATAAAAAATTCTTGAAAACTAACGTCCAATAAAATTTGTGCCGAAAAAAGAATTAATTTCGTATTTTGTTCATATATATGTGAAAGAAAATATGGTAAATTTGTAACACCCTGTATAGCGTCAATAGTAAACGTGTTCCTATTTAATGCTGCCATTTTCTCATAATCACGCACATGTGTTGAGATATTCCTATTTCATTACTTTACTCAGAGACACGCAGACTGTAGACGCAACATCGACATCGGGACGGACAATTTTCGCTAACGATTTCAACGCGCTGACGACGAGGACCATGACGACGACATTGGTCGCAAGGATGAGAGGGGAAAGTCTCGTGACGATTGACGGCAAACTTACCTCTCGTTGAAGGTCTCCTGACGAGCGTAGTTCTGCAGACTGCCCTCGTCGATTAGGAACTTCATTCTCTCGAAGAAGGATGCGGTGATAGCGGGTGGTTGTTTCCGTAGTAATATATCGATTGGCTTAGGAGCTGAAACGCACAGCTGGCTGCCATGGCATATGTGATTGGAGCAACATTCTGGATCGGCGCAATCAATGAGACCATCTAGAAGATACATCATTTTCCATTAAAGTCCAAAGAAGAAATATTGACAGCTTCGGATAGTTGCATCATTTTGAAAAAAAAGTCTAAAAATAAATACTTTGAATATAAGGACTGAGTTTTCAGTTTCAGTTTCTATGCCATTTTATTCTTAGTTTATTTTTTTATTGTGTAACTTTGAAATTAAATGGATTATATCTATGAAATATTGTGAAATACATGAATAATGATTCAATTTCTCTTTTTATATTAATGTAAAAAAAAATAACGATATTTATATGCTATACCTTTATCGTTGTCTCGTCCGTCGCTACAATTTTGTTCTAAGAGTACGCTGCAGTCCTTGCCGTCCCAACCATTATAGCACTGACACTCCCACTGAGCGTCGTTCGACACTCTGCACTGTCCGTGGCCGGAACAGGAATTCGGACAGCCCTCCATCGTGCAATGTTTTCCGTTCCATCCGGTGACGCATAGACACGTGCCATTCTTGCATTGTCCATGCTCGTTGCAGCGAGGATCGCATTGCTTCAGATTGCACAGCTCACCGGACCAGCCTGGTAAGCAGTCGCAGGCGTTGTCCACGCAATGTCCGTGAGGGCCGCAATCAAGATCGCACAGTTCTGAAACACGGTGAAGCGAGAGAGGTTTTGAAAACAACAGTTCGAAGTACTCGAGAATATGGAAGTGTGTTAGTCTCGAAGCAAACACTCAGAAGCAAAGCGATGATCGTCCGACAAATAAACGAAACTATGAAAAAGGGATCTAGAAAAATGGACAGTTAATTGAAAGTGTCTTAAAATTTACTTCGTAAATATTCTGCCATTACCCAGAAACCTGGAAACATAGGAATCGTCAATTCGCTGAAAGTATGAATGTACAATCAATATTTTTAAGTCACATATCGCGGTTATTTTATTGATTTTAAATGTTATAGATCAACACAGATATCCTTGTCAATAACACTAATTTTGATGTATCAACTATAGTTTCTAAAATGAATTTAAAAGCACACGATAAATATCAAAGGATAAAACCAATTATTTAAACGCTAAAAGATATTTACCTAAAAAAAAAAACTAATGGCAAAGATAAAATGTTCGAAGTACTCTAAAAGTTAGCTAACAATAATTTTGTTATTTTTAATTCCTATTTATTCCTATCTTTTACAGATTTAAATAACTTCTGCATTTTTGAGCTAAAAATGATATATTCATGAGTGAGTTATTACAATTATTGTATAACATTTTATTTCTTGTTCGATGTATAATAATTTTATAAAATATAAGTAAGTTCACATTTATTCGTTCACTCACCTTTCGAGCAATCATCACCGGACCACATAGGCTCGCAGACGCATGTCTGAGTCTCCAAATCGAAATTCCCGTGGCCGCTGCAGTCCGGCAGGCATTGCAGTGCCTCCTTATCCATTTGACTGCAATCAGCACCTTTCCAGCCCTTTTTACAGATGCATGTACCCTCAGCGCAGAAACCGTGACCTGAGCAAGTCGGATGTGGACAGTCGACTTCCTCGCAGTATTTCCCCTTGTAGCCGCGTACACAGTTGCATTTGCCGTTGGTGCAATGACCGTGGCCGTTGCAGTCGGGTACTTCGCACTCGTCGTGTCGCAGGGAGCACTCCTTGCCCTTCCAACCGGGGTTGCATTGGCACTCGCCGTTTATGTACTCGCCTAAATCGGGACGACGAGATTATTTGTTGACGAGAACGAGAATTATTTACGCGCACAAGACTCGTGAAATTGATTTCGTATGAAAACTTTTAACGATTAAAGTTCGACGCAACGCAATTGTTGTAACTGACTGACATCATAAATATTTGTATTTCAATTAGACCTAGAGATTACAAAAGTGCATTGCTGTATTTTTCTCTTAAAAATGAAGTTATTATATTTTATTCACAGCAAATAAACATAGCTGCATATCGCTTCACAAGTGCACTGAGGGAGAAACTGGTATACCAAACACCAGGAAATTAACATGTATCGCGAGTATTTGCAAAAGTGCAATACTGAAACGAGTGAAACGTAATCGGCTTTGATTTCTATTTAAAAGAAATCAATAAACGAAGCCGCGCGGACTTGGTTTTTTTAATCGGTTAAAAACCTACCAATCGTTATTTCTTTCTATTTCAATAGGATTTTAATCAAACCCGTAACCAATAACCGATTTTTGAAGTTTATTAAAATTCCAATACGGATTTCAATTTAATATTATTTTAACCAAACGGTTGAATCCTATTATCGCAGAGATTTCTCAATATTTTTATAGTAATAATTTCATATAATACTACATATGCACAAAGTAAATAGAAATTGTAAAACCGACATAATTACCGGTTAATTTTTGACCGAGATATCTTTCGCCGGTAGACAAGCTCACCTCTTTGACTGCAGAGAACAGGACAGACGCTCTCGCTGCAGTCTTCACCACCAAAACCAGGCTTGCACTGGCAATGACCTAGAAGACACTCGCCCTTGCCACTGCAACCATTTGGACAGTTATGCGTCATATCCTCGGCGATTACAGCGATGAATGACACTTCATGAGGATCTCCGTCGTCATTATAGAGCGAAAGAAACCAATGTCCCGGCTCCATATATTTGGTTACCTCTTTCTTAATCGAGGGCTGTAAAAGTTATTAAAAATTATAATTAAACTGTCACGTTTAATATAATTGCGTATACATTTTGATCGTCGCGTCGTACAGGAAGAAAATAAAAAAAGAAAAAAATTCTCTATCCGAGATTATCGGCATATTATGCAAGAAAGAGAAATAAAAATGGATCAGCGGCACATACAATAACACTAACATGGGACGCCCTGGTAGTCCGAGCCTTAAAACCGCTGAGAACTTCCAGTAAGTCGTACTGTGTGTGCGTAGGCAGCGCGTTCCTCCTCGCATACACGCCGATACTTGCACCACGCGGAATGTTGTAGTCGAAGCGGACATAAGCGGCTTCTGATTGGTAAAACTGCATGTTCCAGTAACCGTACGGTGGTATCTCTTTGCTGAGTTTCTGACCTAAACCGACCTGAGCGAAGGTCGTTCCGTCGGGCGGGAAGGACCTCGCCGGGAACGTTCGCGCACCTGTAGATACGAATCGCAATCAGAAGTGATACAGGATTGAGTAGTTCGAGTTTCCGTTGGATAATGTAAATCGAGATCGTCATTAGTAATTTTAGTATAATTAATTACGTTATCCATGTCAAAAAATGATTGTCTACTGACTAATGACTGTAATATGTATTATATAAAACAGGTTGGCTTTAAAAGGGAAAGAACAAAATTGACATTAAGTTATACAGCCTCAATATTACATTATCCGACAGATGTGAGAAGTCACTTTTGAAAGTAAAATATTCTGCGGTCTAGGCATGGATGCTTATGCATGTCAGCATTTCATGAGCGTTACATTTTTCGTTTCTATTTCATTTTTAAATATAAACTACCGATTTATTTTAGTGTCAGTTATTTTATATTAATGGAATAAAAACGATTTTTTTTTCGAAAATAATACATTCTCTTGCATCGCATAGCTGTTGCAATTACACGCCAACAGCTAATCGCCAACAGTTAATTAATCGGGACACTCCGTGCAGGAATTGACTGTGGAATACATAATAGTGATTTAAAACTACGTTACTGTTATAATCTACACAAATTAAACTACCCACTACCATCACAAACGTTACAATGTCTACAACAGTACAGGCAAATTAACATATAATAAAATAAACTCGCGTTTGACCAGTCCACGAGTAAACGAAAAGCAAAGAAGTGAGCATCAGCATCAGCGAAGACGAAAAAAGTAGAAAGTAGAGATGTTGGAAGAGAATAAAAGAAGTTAGAAAGAAAAGATTAAACAGAGAAAAAGAGAAGAAACGAGGCCTCACCTTCAAGAATAAGTATAGTGGGTTCTGGAGGTAGCGGAGTGCTCCCAGAGCAAGACCACGCATCAGTGCTTACTTCCGGCTCGTAAGTCGACACGGAGGTCTCGTTGGTTGACTCACCACTCTCAGCGGTGTCTGTCGAGGAAGGATAATAGTCTTCGGTGGTGGAGGTAGCGTCAGATCTTACCAAATCTTTGTTGGATAATTCGCCGTCCCTTTTATCCGTCAGTCTTTCCCCCGGCTCCTCGGGGGAATTCTCGGCTAACAGAGTGGAGTTAACGCTCTCGAGCTCCTGCTCGAAATCGTCGTCGTCGATCGCTGAAAAGTTGTCCCACTCGTCAGAAGATGAACCCATGCAGGGGCAGGAGCACTCGCACTCGCCGCCAGCCCAGATCGGCGCCGGTGGCGAGGCAGGTGGCTGCGGCGGTGGCGGTAATCGCGTATCGACCGCGTCAATCGATTTATTGTCGTTAGCAGGGATTTTTTTCATGCTTGCTGCGGATGGCTCTGATAGTCGCTCGGCCGTGCGCATCTGCGCCTGATCGACGTTAATCCCAGATGAATGGCTAATCGCGCCGCTTTCCGTTGGTACCGACACTGACAGGACGTAAAGCGGCTTCGAGGAAACGGCGGACGAATCCTCGGTGGCGATCGTTACGTTTATGAGCACTCGATGCGATGACGATGAAAATGAGGACGATGGCTGTAAAGGATCGCGATACACGGGTACCTCTACGATCTGAACCCGCTGCATCACAGGAGGGTCAGACCGAGAAGGGAACCTAGGTGATGCGTTGCCCAATGAATCATGCATCGTTTCATGCAGGGTGTCTGTTGGAGGAGAGTTATAATTAGTCTTGATCGATGGAGAATTTTCAACAGATTCGTCAGCGGTGGACGCCTCGTGGAACTGCTTTTTAAACTTTCGAAGAAACTCTTCGTCGTTTTTTTCTCTCTCGATGATCCGTACATTGTCTTTATTCCATTCCTGTCGAAGAGCGGCGTTCATCTTTACGTCGTTCTTTAGAATCGGAATGGATTCGGGTGATTTAGCAGGGAGTTCCGCTTTTGCGGTTTCAACGGGTTGCTTCTTGTCCTGGAGGTCGACGATCTCTATGTCGTCCTGCCCGTAGCTGTAAATCGGCACAGGATAGTCTCGTTGCAGTTCCTCAGACTGTTCGGAAGTTTTAGCTAAATTGGATGAAGCTACAAATTCGGAAGACGCAAATTCTCTGGAGAGTTCCCGCATTTCTTTCACGATGTTGAACGACTCTGAATTTGTGATTATATTTGTCGAGTTACTGTTGTTTTTTTCAAAGATGGTCGATCTTTCATTTTCATCCGAGTTAATTTTCTCCTCAAACACATCGTCACGATCTTCGGCCTCCGCTACATCTTCAAACTTTTCAACATTCTCGTCCTTACTCGACAAAGTATTAAGCGCCATTTTATTATCTATAGTCATACTAGGCAAAATCGTGCTAGCATCTACTTTTTCCCGATTCATCTCTACGGGAACTAACTCTCCGCTTGAATCAGAATTACTTACGTTCGATTGTTGATCCTCTGATCCTAGCTCGTTCAAGCGTATCTCTGTTACGGTCGTTGGTTCTACAGTGCTATCGTCTATATTATCGCTGTAATCGACGGGGAAAATGTTACGGCCATTTTCCGCAGTTCCGCCGACTACTTGGCTGTAGTCACTGCTATCTGCGCCAAGTTTCGTAGACTCCGAGCCGGATGCAGACGTCGTAGTCTCGATGCCGCCACTGCTTTCGACAAAGTCCGAACTTTCGGACGTGCCGATGTTATCGATATCGCGGCCGAAATCCACGGAGTCATCGTGGCTAAGTTTCGTTACCGGGGCTTTCGACGCAACGTGTACGTTGCCATCGGCGGCCGCGAACTTTGGGATGTATTTCGCGGAAGTGTCTTGCGACGATCGCGAGGTCGTGCCGGACGTCTCGTTATGGGGCAATTGCCGAACAGAAGCTGACGCGAGAGAATTGCCAGAGCCGACAGAGACAGAGGACGAAGAGGCGAGATGGTCGACGGCGACAGTGGTATGAGTTGAATGATCGTGCGAGTAGTTAGTAGCGGTAGAAGAGACATTCACGACAAGCTGTATCACCCGCGAGGGAGCCGTCGATCCCGATGACTCCGGCGGCGCGTCCTTGGTAGCTTTGATCGAACGGTCGATGGCTCCTCTTACTGGACTTTGACCATCCACATGCTCCGGATCATGCACAACCTTACCAGAAGACTCCTTCTCATGCAACGGAACTGACCGCTGTCCGAACCCCGAGGTCTCCGCCTCAGCGACAGTGGTCAAGGACATCTCCTCGGGGTCACGAGAGGGTGATGGCGCGACAGTTTGGTGCAACGCATGCTCGTTAAACGTGTCTCTACGTTTGCGACTGTATACGACATCATCTAACAACATGCTATCCGACGTGCTAATACTACCTCCTGACGATGACTGCGGCCGCGTCCTGCCGCTCGACTGCGACGACGTCGATGTGGACGACGTGGACGTCTTATTCGCCTCGCCCGACGACGGCTTGGCGTCAGTGTTTTCGCCCACCAAGACTGAGCACGCCTTCGTGCCTTGGTACGACCAGTTCACTAAATGGGATGCTTAATAAGGGATCAATTAGAATTGGATGTAGTGTTAGTTTATTAAAGATTGCGCTATGTTATTTTTCACGATGTTACTTCAAAATTATATTTTGAAGGCAACGTAAAAATCTAAAAATTATTTAAAATACGTGTGATAGATAAAGTACTTTTGTGTGTTTGTAAAGTATTTTTTTTTAAATGTGGATCAAATCTGTTGTTCTCAAGAATAACGTATTTAAAAAAAAGGTGTTAAATTTTTACTTAAGTCACAAAAATTCAAATGCTAATCAGAGCCAACACTGGATATTTGTATGTGAATTAAAATTTTTTATTGAGTAACAAATTAATTAAATATTTCGACCTTTCGCTTTTATATCGTTTTTAATAATCAACAAAAACGATAATATTTATCCCGTTTCGATATAAATAGTTTAACGTTCTGACAAATGGTACATGAGACTGCAGATTCGATATAACACGGATTCAATTTGATTAAAAATTAACGAGTTTCCACTAGTATTTTTCAAGAAATTTATCAGTGTTGACACATTCACATATCTTATATATCTGAGCATAATTTGCTCTATTTTAATGTATTTGACTGCGACATTCTCTTCAATCTCGATGAAATAATTTCGAAATATTTTCGTTTTGTTAATTATTGAGAATGATCTAAAAACGAGGAGTCGAATGTGACGTCTATATGACTTGTTATTTAATAAAGAAATCGCACAGAAACACCTGAAGTTGGCCCTGGTTGGCATTTGTATGTACTTTTGTAATTTATACTTGCTAGAGCCTTTCATTATGTTTGTTTCTACTTAAAGTTACACATTCAATGTAAGACAGGTATTGCTTGTAGAGTAAAGAAAGATCGCTCGGAATGCAATATGCGAATAATTACCTGCGACGTAGGTTAATGCTGCAGTCAAGCAGAGCGAGAGCATAATTACTACTATAGCAATTAGTTTCCAGCTGCACCAATCGATTCCCTTGCGGAAATGACAGCGGATGCTTTGTCTCCTCATCGGGATCATCGACGGGGCGTGCCCGTAAGGTAAAGGTACTCTGAAAATCAATGAAGTTCGATTTGTAGCAACCGCATGTAAATTCCCATCACGATGAGAGTAGATCCGTCTAACATGCGCATTATCCGCTCATTAGCGGTCACGGATTAATCTTTATCCCATTGTTTTATCCGAAGACTTCGATAGCCATTCGTACTGAAACTCTGTTATAAGACATTGCATAATTTCTCAATGCGCCGCCGTTGTAATTAGAGGACCACCGCCAAGGAATTCGGCATCTCGGTACAATTTTCAGGCACGTTCAGCCGAACTCTCAGAGTTTCGGTACAGTATGGAGTTTCGGCACTCTCTTTCTCTCTCTCTCTCTCCCCCTCTGCCTCCCACCTTTCTCTTACTCTCCCTCGTGACGTTCGAGAAACTCGTAATGTATTCTCGCTCGTTACATACCCCCGTGGAAAAGCAGCAGCCCTCGAGTGTGTTTGTACTGAACATTGCCGCCGCCGCCGTTTCCAAGTAACTCACAAATGTCTAACCAAAATATTTAAACGCAACCGTCGGATTCTGAAGCGCAAGCGGGAAAACGCGTTTGCTTTCGTTGCACCGCGTGATAATGAAAAAAACGAGAACCAAGCGGCGTCTACCAGGCGTCCTTTCTCCCGCTGTTGATTCTACGCGGATTGGACGCGCATTTTTTTTCTATCGCGCAAACCAAATAAAAGCGGACGATTTGGAGTTTCCCCGAGTGAAACTTCCGGTCCCTGAATTCTCCATTTTACAGCCCGATGTCGAAATGTTTAACCGAATGTTTGACTTATTCGTTACAAAGTTTCAATATTGAAATATCCTACGTTTTCGAACGTTAAGCTCTTCGGTTTTATCACATTTACATTTTTAGGATATTTCGCTTTGTTTTGATTTTTGATAAAGATAAGTGAAATATTAATTTTATGCGAACAAAAAAGAATATCAAATCACGTCGGTTACTAGCTATCGACGTGTATTTCGCGTATGTTTGCTTCTGTAAAATGTCAAAAAAATTTTAAAATGTACGAATTCAATAAAAAAAGAAATTATATTATGCACTCAAATGCCGGATCGGCTGAGAATTAGCATTCGCTATTATCAAATTAGTTTTCTCATTTCGTGTTACTTCAATATCGTTCTATTCAATCTCTTAAAAATGACTCGTTCAACTTTCGAGCCGCGCGTTAATGCCATTTAACAAATTTGCATACCGTAAAAGCGAGGAAACTCGAATCTCCGTTGGCTCCAGGGGTAGCGCGTTATCAAATTCCATTCTCTTCTCTCTCTCTCTCTCTCTCTCTCTCTCTCTCTCTCTCTCTCTTCCCGCGGCCGAAAGAGAAGTTCGTTTACCGGCTTCGTAAACACGACGTGAATCTCGCAGCAGCACTCGTTTTGCAAGTTTCGGCGACGCGTTCCTCTATAGATCTGCGGCGAATGGTCCTCGTAAAGATTCGCAAAACCCGAAGATTTTCTACGGGCAAACGTCACGAGCGCAGGAGAGGTGCACGCTTTCTTGAGGTGCGACAATCCACGTTCAAACATTGTGCCGCGAGTCGACTGAATGGATGATTCATGAGGATCGTCTCGAGTAGCACGAAGAAAGAAGCGGAGAACCAGAAGTCGACCTTGTTTGCGTGTTATAGGTTCGATCATGCGTCGGTTTTCACAGAGAACACGAGTTTTCTCGGCCCCGTACCACGACGGAACGACGGTTCAATTCATTCTTGGGGACAACCACGCCGCATAGCAGAAGGAGGAACAAGTATTGTGCGGTAAACGGTCTTACCTGTCCATGTTGTTCTGCAGCTCCACTTTTATTGGACTGTTCCCCGTGGACTGATTCTTGTTGTTGTATTCATTCTTCGGTATCTCTGCAAAAGAGAAACGGAGGATGAAGACAGTTTGTTATATTCGCCGTCTGACAGATCGGCGAAATTTCTCGTGGGAAACAACGTAGGCGCCCCATCAAGTTTTTCCGCCGTCCAAAATGTAAATGCAATTCAGTGCGATGTAGTTTACATTTTACGTAATGCATACAAAATCGTATTATACAGGAAGCGTCATAATACACGCGGAAAATTGGAGGTAAGATAGCTTTTTCGACGAGTTTCGCCGTACTTTGTGCAAGGGGCATTATTCCTCAATTTTTATAGTTGCTCGTCCATGATTAGCCGTTTTATCAAGTTAACTGATTTACCGAGGTAAATGATATCGTTAGAGCCGCTAATAGACAGCACGCATTACGTTTTGACGTAGGCTCTCTATCGGTTTGACGGGGTTAAAAATCGCCTGCCGTCGGTCCGTCGTCGGGATAATCACGCCCCTCGCTTACGTTTACTCTCACGCGGCATTTCCGATTACGTGCGGAACGTATAATTATGGAGGAGAGCTCGAGCGCGGAGGTTTGGTGAGCGCGAGGCGTGGCCGGCCGTTAAATAAATTACGACAGTGTCGATTCTTCATTTTCAACGCGAGACTTTTCCCGGTGAACGACCAGACGCGATTCTTTGTGATGCCAGACGCGAACGTCTTTCTACTCGTGCCGTTTCCACACACACACACGTAAGACGCGAGGTAGGAGGAAAGGAGCGGCACAGCGGTCGCGGGGCTCCTGTTGAATCGATAAGTATATGATTCATCGCGGTTTTGGCTTGAATTTCAAGCAATCGCGGCTACGGCTTGTGCCGAAGGGAAGGAAGCCTGTAAATGCGTTCTCAGGTCTTAGAAAACTGTCGAACACAAGGCGGTCTTGTAAAACCGAAGAGAAATCATAGGAAAAAAGAAACCGCTGCTCAAAAAGAAGCTAATTTGGTAGTATAATACATTGAAAAATGTGACTTTTCCTTTTGTCGTCTTTTAAGGTCTCCGGAAGTTACGATCTTGAAAATTGAGGCCGGTACATCCTGTGAACTCGATTCCGTGTATATTCGATGGACGATCGTAAACGTCGTGACGACAGTACTGATGATTAGTGGTGAGTGGCGATGGTTTGAGGGATAATCACACCCTCGCAACAATATGCACGAGTGGTATTAACGCGTTAATCCTCAACCAAGAGAACCTCAAACACACAAGTTTTGGGGGCATGGAATAGCGGAGTAACACGAATTCTATTACGTCTCTCGTGATACTCTACTGAAATATTCGGGTTAATATTAGCTGTGATGAAATAGTTGGTGCGCAAAACACGCACTTCTACATTAATTTCCGTCCGCAAAAATGAGAAAGACGTGCAACATTCATGGACAGCGGAAAATATCGCGGAAAAAAAAAAATAAAAATTATATATTTAAATCTGGATATAATAACTGATAAAATAGAAATAAGCATGCTGAAATGTATTTACATTTGAAACAAGCTCTGAATTAATTTTGGAAGTTTAACTCGGTACGTTTCTCTCTCTCTCTCTCTCTCTCTCTCTCTCTGCCTATCCGCATGTCGAGATACGGTCGCACGCGGTAGCGCGGTGCGCATTTAAAACGCAGTGCTTCAGCGTTTTGAATATTAATGAGCCACTTTACACGTTTACGCGCGCAAGCGGCATTCGAGTTCGAGCTTTGTTGTTCTTGACACTTAGCTCGTCTGAAGCCCGCTTCACGGAACCCTTTTTCGGAACACGCTCGAAGTAACGGGCGAGGCAGAGCTTCGCTGCTTCAGCGCCCTTTGTCTTCTTACGGGGAGCTCGTCCAACTCTTAACATTCCCCCGCACCTTCGGGCATACCTTGGTGAACGGTAAAACGCGGGCGTGGGAAGAGAAGAGGGCCCGGCCGAAGCTGCTGACCCCACCACCGCTAATTGCAGGTGTTGCCGCTCCGGCCTCGAAATCCGGTGATTATGCCATTTAGGCAGATATCGATGATTACGGTGATTTCGGGGATACTCCGTTCTACCTGGAGGGTGTATTTCTCTCGTTTTTATTTTTCTTCAGGGTGCTTAAGCGCACGAGACGGCGACCCCCGTCGTCCGGAATCGAATTAAAGGAGAATATTCGCTAATCGGTGGTTCGTCGGCGAGAATTCATTCTAATTGGCGACCTGCCAGGTGATTTACCGCCGATGATGCGCTTGCAAGAGGCATCTTCACGCAAGGAATCGCTTTGACGAAGGGTTGAACGTGAGTACGCGTCAAATTGGAATTGTGTTGGTTGTGTCGAATCATTTAAGGGACCAGAATTCCGGTTGCATGATAATGTTAAGCTATACGTATCTATAAATTATAAGTCAAGAGCTGTAAGATGACTTTTCTCGAAGAATGTTAGAAGAAAATTTAGTAAAGACAAGCAAAAAATATCTAATATCACAAAGAATAAATTTTGCAAAAAAATTTTGATAAAGTATTTCGAAAATTAAACTGCTTTCCTTTTATTACATATTGTTGTAGTAAGAAGTTTTTTTAATAATATTCTGTGAATTTTTAAACGAAAGAGATTTATTGAGTGCACAAAAGTATAAGTAGCCAAATAATGTAATTGTTTAGTACATAAAAATGTTTTTCATAATTATAGTAAGACTAAATAAGCTTAGAGTAGATAGATAGACTTAAGCGAAAAAACGAGAGCAAATTCATCTATTGCGTGAGCAAGGTGATTTTTAGGAAGGAAGGTCTCGACTGTGGACTTGCATTATGCAGACGGCTATAAGCGTCAGGCGGTGTCATAACCGAGCAGTCAATAAGACGAAGGATCGTAAGGCTCATAAATCACCATTCGAGCTATCCCATGGATTTTAAGAAAACCTTTGAAATGATCCACGTTTGCTTTAGAAAAACATCAGGGTGCATCGAAGGAACAGTCAACCATGGCGCTCGACCATGGAATTTGAAAAATCTTTACGACGAGCCGAACAAGAGAAAAGAGCGTGTCACCGGGTGCCCGGGTATTTGTGCCGGACACTTCCCGAGTCGCCGAGTGGACCAGGGGAGACTTTATACGTAGAAAAGCTTAGGTTTCGCCGTTGTTTTCTCTGTAGTCGATACCACGCGTTGGTGGAGTACGTCGGAAAAATGTCGCCGCAAGGCGCCCTTTTCTTTCCACGAGTGTGCTCGGTGGTATGGCAAAGGACAAGTGAAACCGTCAAGGGACTTGTCCTTCATCTTCGTATATGGCTCGAATTTTGTCCATTGTTTTCCATATGGAAATCGATCACTGTCTCTTAAATTTCTTTAAAAATCAAGTAAATTAATCTTTACATACATATTGGGACATCGTGTCCTCCATATTTCTTTTGTTAAAAAAAAAACTAGGTGCATCGAGTAATTAATTATAACATTTATATATAATTTTTTTTAAATAGGTATAAAAAAATCTTCTCTATATTATTTAATGACGATTAACACGAAACACGAATGACCTACCTATCATATTAGTAAAGGACCGAAAAATCGCGTATACTAATAGTTAAATATAAATTATAAAATCGCGGCCAAAATAATTAAATCCAACGATTCGTGACTTTACAGTTTCAATGTTCGTGATTTTTATTGCTTTTTTATTATTGTACTTTATCTCGGATAGTTGCTATTATCTACTGCTGCTGAATAGTTTGTTATCTCTCTTTCATCATCTCTTTTTTCATCCTGATCCTGTTAGAAAGTTACCACCGGTATGCAGTGTTATTTCATGTTACGATCCTTTAAATTAGATTTGTAATTAATTTACCTATGCGGGCGTAAGTTTGAAGAACTCGCGAAAGACTAAGTTGGCAAGCCGACTCGTACCAATTCGCTCTCCGCAGACCAATCTGCGGCGACTAAATTTTGAGAATCGTTCGGCTTGTTAGAGTCAAGTTAGTCTCGAGGCTACTCCAACAAGTCCCGACTTTTATTTTGAACTTTTATTTCACGAGAAGCCGCGTTTTCTCACGCGCAACACGCGAGCAACCTCCGTTATCACGTGCCTTGCTTTCTCAAGATAAAGCGAAGGGAAACCTTCGGAATCTTTTGGTAAACAGAAAAAAAATTTTGGATAACGTCGTAGCGTGTGGCTTTCGAGCTAGATTCTTAAAAAAACTTGGAAGTGATAAGATGCGTCACGGAAGATAGTTTGAAAATTATCGACACTCTTCCTTTGGGTCGATCCCCTCATTGGTTACCACTGATTACAATGTATACCCTCGTCAAAGGTGTCACCCGCCATCGTCCTTTGCTAAGCCTTCTTTCGACGAGTTGGTGCAAATACCGCCGACATTATCGGGGGGATACACTCCACCAGGGACACCACAACAGGATACTTGCGCTCGCAAAAGCGCTTTTCTCTCCCCAACAAATATTTATCCGTATTTACGTTGATGTATATATTTCTCTTTATCAATCGTGCGACTATTAAAAGTATTAAAATTTCATATTTATGTCTGTATAGAAATATATCGATGTTTTAGAGATATGAGAAAACGGAGACAATTACTAAAATAGACTTTTTCATTTCGCGATAAGAGAGAGAGATAGATAGTATAAAGACGTTTATTAATATTCTACAAGCTTTTTAAGAATATAAAAGTGATAAGTAAAAAGAAAATAAAGAGAAAAGCCTGTAACACAAATAATATCTACAAAATAAAAATAAAGAAATAAAAGATAAAAAAAATAAAAATAAGAAAATAAACAAATAATAAACAAAAGAAAATTAAAAAGTAAAATTTTAACAAAAAAATTGTATAAAAGAAAGAAAGAGAGAGTAAAAAAACAATTTTCTTGGATCAATATTCCTCAATTAAGGTAATGGCGATCGTGGATCTTTTGACAGAGATGAAAGAGAAAATGTACAGAGTAATACTAGAACTATATCGTTCACGAATTTTTTTTTTACCAATCTTATACAGTTGATAATTTTCTTAATAAAGATAATAAAAGCCTCAATAACTCTCGAGCTATAAGCAACTGAGAATAAAAAAACGTACAAACAATTTATCTTTTAACACATGATATAACTTTACTTCTGTAAATATATTTGTACTTAAATTGTGAAAATATCGGAGTTATTGGAATTTCCATTTCGTGCGAGACGAATCGATTTAAAATTTGCCAAGGTACTCGTAGACGGAGGAAAAAGGGGAAAATCATTTCCCACGTATCTCTATGACTACTCATTCAGACTGTCCTTCTCTCTACTAAATCAGACTTAACGATTCCCTGCCTGCGAACTCACTTGGTATATTGTAGAAGTTACCGGATGGGGTGCGTACGAGACAGGATGGCTCGAGATCGGGATCGCGTTCGTGATCGCTCGCTGCGTGACTTCCTGGCAGTCTTCCGTTGAGCCGGCTCATTGCGGGGTTACGGGGTGGCACATCAGGCGGGCCCCGTGGTGCCGAACTGTCCAACAAACACCCTGCAACAATAAAGAAAAGGCACACTCAGTTTGAGACGCTGGACATCCTTTAACATCTTTCTTAATTGTACGGGATCTACAATAGAGTTATAAATATCGAAGTCTAAAGATAAAAGCGTTTAAAAGGAATCCTTTAAAAAACCCTTTTGCCCGTGAAATTTCTCCTTTGAAAAGATAGGCCTTTGTATTGTATCTCGCCCTTGGTCGCTGATGTAATAAAAATAAAATCAACCCTTGCAAATTGTTACAAAAAGGAAATTTGCAGCAGTCAAAAAGAATTCTATTTCTAGTAAACGGTTGATGGAAATATGAGACTTCTTTAAAAATTGGCTGTCTCAGAATAAAGTTGCTTCTAACGGTTGGTAAGAAAAGCGGCGGACCAATACGACGACGCGAGGATTCGCCTAGGATCTAGGGCGGCTGGTCTTAAGGCTTATAATGCTCGCACCAAGTAATCCAGGGCAGGTGGTCCCAGCCCCGGTTTTCATCTGGCGAAGGGTTGAGCCGATCTCACGATTAGGCATGGTTCACACGCGACGCGCCATCATCGGGACATCATCGGGGGTGGATGGATCCTAACCCTATCCGCGAACAATCTAGGATTTTTTAAGCCAAGATTTTTTTTAAAAGCTAAAGCCGGTAAAAGTTTGCTTTCAAGCGATGATGCAAACGCGGCGTGGATTTGCGAGTGGATTTGTGTCGCGGATTAGAAAGATCGTTGAAAGATATCAAAAATGGAGAGCCGCCTGATGCGATTCGTTGATTCATAACGCGAAAGACCACCACATCATTTATTTCGATATTTTATACGAAGCGTTAACAGGTTATTGTTAGACGCATACTGTAATATTCAGCAGGCTTTATGCACACTGTGGTAAACGCAAGCAGTTGCAAAGTTAAATTTCGGTCAGATAGTTTAAGCACCGTATGTACTCGCGTTTGCGTTAGAGAAATTTACTTGCGGTTTACTTTACTTCTCTAATATATATGTGATATTTCTCTAAAATATCGTTTTATTTTTTGTTATTTGTTGAAAATATATTTTACAATTTAATCTCCCATTTTACTTTATATAGACAACGTAAAATTGTGTATCAGTCCATCACTGATATCATTAAAAAATAATCGAATTCGTGGGGCACTACATCGACAAAAACCCCAAAAAGGGATCCGGTTGAGAATATCGGCAAGAAATTCGAACCGCTTCTTCTGCATCGAGTGTCAGCCAATGAGGCGGATTCGTTCGTACTCTTTTTCTGGTGATGGTAACGAACGTCGCCTGATATCCTATTGGACGATAAAGGGTGCAACAGGAGGCGACGTGAGCGGAAGAAGACAGGAGGACAGCAAAGGGAGAACCGGGCGAGCGAAAGATGAAGGAAGAGAGTGCGAGAGCAGAGCGAAGAAAAAAAGAAGAAAAAAGTTTTATCCCGTGCGACGACAAAGGACTTTCTCAATCTCGTCTAATCGCGTGCTCGTCTCCCCTTCATCCTTCCTTCCATCCGTTCGTCGTACCAACTTCGATTCGTGCTTCGCTTACGCGACCCTCTCCTCTCTTCTCCTTCCGTCCCATGGACTTGGTTCAACCAAGAGCACTCGACCCTTTTACGATCGAACTTTCCCAGTTTCGACATTTCGCTCTCGGTCCCTCCTTCCCGCTTCCTCTGTAAGGAAAGCACCATTTGGCATTACTACCAATGTGCATCGGTCCATCGACGAAGGTAGAGACGCGTAAACTAGCATAACATCTCAAGGACACCGTACCCCTTTTTCCAGAAGTCAGAAGTCATCTCGGAAAAACAGCCCTTTTACGTTCGTTCAGGATACGGACACATGGTAATGGTACACGAATATTAGCTGTGAATGCATCATGTAATTGGAGAACAAATTAATATATATCGGCGTAATTAATAATAATAATATATTAATAATAATCCCGAATGTGAAATTCTTTTATTATACCCTCCTTCCCACCCCCGGATCCGTGATGTCTGGCGCCATCAAATATGAATCCTTATATTAATATTTCCCAACGGAAGCTATTAAATTTTAATTAATACAACAGTACTGTTCAAACTGTAGAAACAGCGTGATATTAAATTTACGCATGATTTACGTAATGTACATATTAAAAAATAGTTCTCAATCAAAATGATTATCTTGATCCTGTTGCGGAACGTAGAACCGTAGACTGTCGAGAAAGTCACGATAATTTTTGCTAATAGAAATTTCACTGAAGCGGACGCTGTAGTCGACAGTGCGCCTTGTCAACCGTTTCTATTATATCTGAAACTTGTTAACCCCAGAATCCGTTCGTTACGTACGAAACGCTCGCGCAACTCGAGAGAGCTCGAGCGCTCGACAAGAGCTTGCGCTGGTCTATTCATCCTTCCCGGAGCCATCGAGGCAGAAGAGTCTGTGGCACGTCGTTATTCTTGCTAATAGATCGGCGGGAGTGGGTATTGTCCTGACACAGTTACTTGAAGGATCTCACCCCGTCGTTGTCGTCGCCGTTGTCGCTCCTTTTCCCGCCGCGCCGTTCTAACAGTTTGAGTGTACGAGAAAGATCTCGTCATCGTCGTCGTCGTCGTCGTCGTCATCGTTGTCGCTCGAGGAGAATAAATAAAAACAGACCGAGGAAGACCAGCAGAGAGGGAGAAAGTTTGAGCATCGACAAAAGAGCACGGGATTTTGCGTGCCGCTATCCGATATCCAGGATGAGCATCGCCGTGACAAAGGATGCGCACGCGGGTAGGATGAAGCGAAGCATCCGTGAATCGAATTATGCTCGCCTGGTTTGCGCGCGACTGAGTCCACATTCGTGAAGGGACCTTTAAGGGGCGGAGAGGCACGAAAGGAACACGTCGTCACAGAAGACCCTGGACTGAATGAGTCCTGACCTCGAGGACCCACACCCGATGCCGCACACCCGGCCAACGTAATGGATGCGCGCCCATTGAGAGTGTACGTCAAAACGCGTAACATAATATCGGGGCCCTTACGCGCAAGAGCCCATGCCTAATGGAATTTATTAGAGAAGGTACCTCCTTTTTTCGAGATCCTCAGGTACGGAATCCCCAATGGATCGAACGTTCGCCGTGGAATCAAGAGGTTCTCCAGATCGTTAGATTGTCTTCGGATCACTGGATGTGTTCTTTCGACATGGAAAAGTTAACTGGGATGATCGTACATGGAAAAAAAGTTAAATCTTGAGAGCAATTGATTGCCACTCACATTGAATGAGGTGTAATCTGATCCTGTCAAATGTCTAACTTTAATTGAATATCAAAATAATAAATTTTTAAGAGATATCTAATTTCGTTATATTAATATTTTTTTTCTTGGTTTTGTGTGTGTGTTAAATAAATGTTAATTTAATAGTAAAAAAATACGTGAGTGTATATATATGTGTAATTTGATGACAAAACATTACTTTAATTAAACATTGTTCGCATGCGAGAATTATAATAACAATTTTATGATTATATAAGATTTAAAGAAGCAAAAAGAAAATATTAAATTAAATAAACTCGCGGTATTGTAGATTTAAATTATAAATTTTTGATAAAAGATACACTGTATCCACGTTATTTTTCGCCAAAAAGATATGACTCGTGTGAAACCGCTTTGGGATAAAATACCGTATAAAGCAACATCGTAGCAATATCCACGGAGATTTAGGAGGGGAAAGGTGAACAAACGATTCGGGAGCCTGGTCACGTATCAAAGAGCAGAGTGGACGAATTTTGGGGTGCAGAGCGAAGAAAATGAACAAGGGTTAGTCTCGTGTCTGGATTAGCTTTCGGAACGGAACGAATTAATACTATATCGCGCGCTGAATAAAGCTGCGCATATTTCCACGTGCCAGCGGCGGTCGCGTGAGAAGCTTCGCGTATGGTCATAGTTTCATAAATCCACCGCAAGGAACTAAAAAAAAATATTATCTTACTTTTCCATGACTTGTGTCTATTTATGAAGTAATGACTTTTTATAATTATATTAAATGTATGTGGATGTATGTGTGACTAGGATTTTCAGAAAATGTATCTGTAAGTTACAGAAATAGTAACTCTCAAAATGAAAGTTTACAAAACGAGACTTTTCCCTTCCTTGCGCCAATTAAATATAGCTTTAGCTTCTTTTAAGATTGTGGAAATATATATGAATAATTAAAGATGGTTATTTTCATCTCAGAAAATCAATAAATCAGTCAAACATTTCAACTGGAGATGCGAATAGCGTAAGCTCAAATCGAGTTGCTGTCCTACTCACCAATTTAATAAATTGAAAGATGAGATTGTTTTAAACTTACGAGCAAACTGAATTTCTGCGCAACTAAAAATAATCGATGCGTCCTGTATTCGTTCTCGAGAAGGAGAGGAATTTCTGACAGATCGCTTGAATTATATCAGACCATGAGATGAGCACAAAAAACAAATAGAGAGAGAGAGAGAGAGAGAGAGAATCTTATAAAAACGTTATTTAACGGATATATGCTATTTTAGTTCTTCCAGCAGCATCACACAGAATGTCGGATATATCGGGAGATCCTCCAGGCTTCTCGATTCCCGGCGAATCCTAAAGCGGTTGAGTTATCTTGAGTTTACGTACACATACACCCCACTGCCGACGCCGCCGCCTCTTCGTGCTATCTCCAGAACTTATGGAAGCCATGTTAGAATTTGTGAAACAACCACTTTACTCCGGGAATCACTACGTCGCTGTAGTATCGGGTAGCGTTTGCAATTTATCGCAATATCCGGAAGTTTTCGTGAAAATTTTCCGCTGCACGTTGCATCATCTTCCGCGTGCGCCTGCGTCCGTATCAATTTACCATAATTTAATTATGATAAAACGCTCAACTACGCGCGCAATTAGTCTCATTAAGGATGTTGGGCAAAATGAAATATCGCGTTTCCACGTAACCAAAGATCTTTCCTAAGCCCGCTCAACACATTGCTTCTCAAGATCATGATCTATCTCAATTGGCCATCCAACGG